GTGAACCCTTGGCTACACAATTTAAGTATATAGGCATTTTGGTCTACGTCGCTTTGTTTAACCGGTATAGAGTAAAACCGACAAAGGTGCAAAAATCGGAAAGTGAAAATTCCCTGGGCGGAGTCGTGTCTTCATTCTCGGACTGGATTTTAAACAAAGATACATAATTTTGATCATAAAAAATAATAGAATACACTTTATTCATTGTTTTTTAGTAGAAAAATGGAAAGCGGAAAATAATTTCAAGAAAATCAATGTTCTTTTTCGTTAACGGTTTAAGCATGTAAAAACTGACAAGCGCACGCACTCGTTGTGTACCTTACGCCTGTACGAAATGCACTGTTTTTCATTGGCTCTGTTTTTTATTATCTCCGAGCATACGCAGCACATATTATTTAGTTTTCTTGACTTCGTTTTGGCTTGGAAACGACTTTGCCCCGAACACAAGTTTGGTTTAATCGCTTAGAAAATAATAGAAATCAATGAAAATAAAAAAACTGCACTAGATTCGTGTTCAGCATGCATTACTCTTTAGAGTCACTTACTTTAAGATTCGGAGAGGCAATAATACTTAAGATATTACAAACTTTCGACGCGGAAGAATATTTACTTTCGACCTGCGAAAACACGTTTGCTTCGATAAGAATCGCAACATGGCACGTAACCTCACTAAACTCCGTTGGTTACGTGGGCACTATAAGCCGCGCTTACAGTATTAATGGCGAGTTCACACAACACACGGATTTTGAGATAATTGCAAAAACGACTCCGCCTCGGGGCCGACTTCGCCCCGGTCTCCCCTACATACTTTCAGTTGTAAAGCGAGGTCCACGCTGCCTACTGGCGGAGGTGTGTGCCGAAGGCCTTCCTTGCACCTTCCACCGCGCGCGCGCGCGCGTGTGTGTGTGTGTGCGTGTGTATGTGTGTGTGTTCCGGCATGTCGGAAAGAATAGGTATAAAAATAGAAAAAAAAAATTGGTAAAAAAATAGGTAGGGTACATATTTTTCGGGCTCCCCCGATTTATTATCACTGTCGGAGTCACAACAAAGGTTTTTACCAAGAAAGCCGCAAGAAAATATAATCAAAATTCGGAAAAGGCCCTATTGTCAAGAACTACTAAAAGATTTTTTTCAAATATGACAATTTTTCGCGAAAATATGCTTATTTGAAATTATGCAAAATTTTGATATGAATTGAGTATTGTGATTTTGTTAATCAATGTAATATTTTCTTGTTAGTAGATTGACGCAAATTTTTATTGTCTCTAATAATTAGGTTACATTTTAATTGTTGTGACATTTTCAATATTATACAGTGTATATAAAAAGTACTGGGACGCAACAGTATCTCGAAAAGATAAAATTTTTTGAAAAAATGTTTTATACAAAAGTTGTAGAGTTTCAAAAGATCTATTTACTGATCTTGTCAGTGTGACCTTGTGTGGCGTCGCCAAGGTCAGAATAAGGTCAACTTAAATTTTTTTAATGGGACCTCCTATTTTTTTATTGCATATTCTTGTAGCCCTTGTCGAGATGTTTTTAAAACACTAGGGGAGAGTGGGGCACGTTGAGACACGGGGCACCTTGAGACATTGCTGGTTGGAGGGAAAGAAGGTTTTTTAGGTTGGTTGCACTGCATGCCTTGTTTATTCAGGAGGTAATATAATTTTAGCTTTTGCAATCAGATTACATTGTTTTGTTGTGAGCGAAAGATAAGTGTTTGGGGATCCTGGAGTTACGACAATTACCGACATTTTAGTTGGACCAATTTTCTTCGAATTAGCTTTACAGAATGGAAAATCCATTTACACGTTTAAAGTACGTACAGAAATCATGTGCGAAATAGTAAATTTAAGACTTAAAACTTAGAAAAATATATTTAATACTATTTGGTGTTGCACTTTTTGTACCTAGAGCTGTCACTTTAAGGAAACGTTCGCTTATATACAAATTATATAGCTTACGTGTACAAATCGAAAATGTCCCGCACCTCGGATTGTATCAAAGAACAGCGTAGCACCATTGAAACTAAGATTAAAAGCCTAATAAGAAAGATTTTTCATCCAACTGATTTTATGCATGTACACACACGCAGTGTACATGGCGTTGCAATCTGACAAAGACAGATATATCGCATGATATCTCGTTAGATAAGGACAGATATAGGCCGGTAATATAGAAAACGGTCAAAATTATCGACCCCGTCGAAGTTCGGCCGTCACTCCAGGATCTCTTTAAATGTAAATTTTAATTTGTTAAGGTATACTGAATTAATTAACTTTAAATTTATTACTGAATGATAGCTATATAGCTGTGTTTAATTTTCACAGTTTATATTTTTGCACAGTAATCAATTTGGTTTGGTTTAGCTTTGTTAGCTTTGAAAACTGCTGTTGGGGCACCTTGAGACAAATAACTATGGAGCAAGTTGAGACATAAAACTTTTTGGATTAAGATGAGACCTTTCAAAATAACTGTATTTTAAAAGATTGTTTCTTGTTTTAGATTTGTTGCTTATTGAAAATGGTCAGATAACGGAAAAAACCTCAAGTAAAAGGTAATTTTGATGCCGACACAATGTTTTTTTCATCCTAATATTTTTTGATGTTCTAATATTGTTCCTATCTAATATATATTCACAAATAAATCATAACACAAATTATTATTGATGTGTCTCATGGTGCTTTACATTGTTTTAATCTTCCCTACTAAATGTCTCAATCTGGCCCAAGAGTGGTTCAGGATGAGACACTTTTCAAAAATTGATTTTTTTTTATTATTTAGGAAGTAAAGCACGTTAAACCAAAATAAACTTATTAAAATTTTAAAATTTAAGTAAATCTGTGTTGGAAATCATTTTATAAAGAATTTTAGCATAAATATTTAAGGAAATACAGCAAGTTGAATTTAGGTGTCCTAACGTGCCCTACCTTCCCCTATAATAAAGCTCTAGGCTCCTTCATTAAGAATTTCCTGAGATACTTTAAATTCTGTTACAATATTTTTAATATAAAATATGAAATAGCTCGTAAAGTATTCACTTTTCGATAATTTTACTTTAATACTTTTATGCGTGCGTGCGTGTGCGTGTGTGTGTGTGTGTGTGTGTGTGTGTGTGTGCGCGCGTGTGTGTGTGCGTGTGCGTGTGGGTGTGCGTGTGCGTGTGCGTGTACTGCGTGTGTCAGAGTTCTGCAAACCAGTCCGACCCGCACAAGAGCTCGAAGTCCTGAGACGCATGAGCCCGCAAAGCCCAGCCTGCGCCGTTCGAGTAAACGAGCCCGCGAAATTCAGCCTGCGCGGCTCGCTAGAATAAATATTATGTTGCTATGTACGGTGCGTATCAATAATTCGTTCCCTGAGGTAAGGCCACTATTATTTGTAAGTAAATATAGCTTCTCATTCAATAATTTGTGTTGTACTTCGGTATAGTAATATACATGTTAAGGTAAATGTACCGGGACACTTAAGACCTATTTCTTTAGGGACACCTTTATCACTTTAGTTTTTAAGTAAGTATAACGCGAATTATAATCAAAGATAAAAATATAATACACGAAAAATAATTTTATCTTTGATTCTTTGATTTTAATTCACGTTATAAGTTATTTAAGGACTAAAATGATGAAAATATCCAGACATAGATACGTGTCCAAGCATTGGTACATTTACCTTAAATTCGACGGGCTGCGCGGGCTTAGCCGATTATTTAAACAGGTCGCGCGGATTGGTCTATGCGGGACAAACGCGTACTAAGCGTGGGCTTCGCGGGCTCGTGCCAGATTAGAATCGAGCTCAACAGGGCCTTCTTTTCCCGCATTTTTCTAAGCCCGTTCCCTTGGCAGTGGTTTAGCTAGATAGTAGATAGGGACAGTGGGGATCTCGTTAATCCATTCATGCGCGTGACTAATTAGATGATAAGGCATTTGGCTACCTTATAGAGAGTCATAGTTACGACCGCACCGGAGGGTCTAGGCGGTTAGCCCCCAGTAACCCGTCCAGGGTGTCGCGCGGTTCTTCCCAGTACTTCCCTTCACACTAGAATCAGAGCCGAGGATTTCCCCTTACAGAGCATATACCTTAATAGATTACATATTCCCGGACCAGCCGACTCCTCAAACGTAGGAGCACGGTTTCCTGGCTACTACTATATGACACTGATGTGTCTATGACACTTATTGTACCTGTGATGTTGCCCAGGTAGTAGGCACTCCGTAGCTCCAAGCACGCAGCGTTGCGGCCCTAAAAGCATACGGAGGTGGGATAACAAAGCTCCCCCCTACAAAGGTAATGTGCATCATGAATGTCTCTCAGAGACTCCACGTATTCTCTAGCGACCCTTACGCCCCCGAGAGTCTGACACCAAATGATAGAGCACCACTAGCCACGTGTGGGGCTTCCCTCGGTACTCGAGCGGTCTTATGCTCACGTTTGACGAATCACCGTCGCAAGTGCCGTGTTCACTCGTTCCCATGTTTGATGTTTCACCAATCGGCTCATGTTTGTTGCCCGGAGACTAGGATAAGTCATTTACCAGATCGTTTTATGTGTAGCGTGGCACATGGGGAGCCAGTTACCCGCTCCTGTCGGGCACAGCCCACGTTAGGCGAGCTTCCGTCGCGAAACGCCTCGCAAATCGCTCCCCTGTACGGCCGGCTGCATCTGTTACTCCAAGTCCTTGGGATGGACAGCAGCACAGGTCGTTTTATGGGCAAATGGCACGGGGTGCACCGTTTACCCGCGCTTACTTGAATTTCTTCACGTTGATATTCAGAGCACTGGGCAGAAATTACATTGCGTCAACACCCGCGAGGGCCATCGCAAACTTGAGGGCTTACATGGACCGGACTTAAGGTCACACTGATAAGATCAGTAAATAGATCTTTTTAAACCCTAGAACTTTTGTATATAACATTTTTTCAGAAAATTTCATCTTGTCGAGATATACTGCCGTCCCGGTACTTTTTATACACACTGTATAATGCTATAATTTTATTTTGCAGGTTTGGCATTTGATGATTGGGATTTAGATTTTTATACAGAATTATTTCTCCAAAAATTAAAACGTAATCCAACTAGTGTAGAATGTTTTGATCTTGCCCAATCTAATAGTGAACATAGCCGCCACTGGTTCTTTAAAGGACGTATCATTTTGGATGGCAAAGAAGAAAAACAATCCTTAATTGATATGATTATGGATACGCAAAATTACAGCAATCCAAACAATGTGATTAAATTCAGCGATAATAGTAGCGCAATAGAAGGATTTAAAATTCCTATATTACGTCCTACGAAAACTCATGAATGCAGCGGCTTTCACTTGGAAGATATCAAACAACATCTTATTTTTACAGCAGAGACGCATAACTTTCCAACTGGCGTAGCACCTTTCAGGTGAATTTAATAGCGAATTTGGTTGGGCACACCAGTGAGCACTAGGCTCAGTGCACATTAAAGCCGTTGTACACGAATCAACGTATAAAATGTATGTTTAATATAAACGGGTTAAGTCACGAAATCCTCAATTATCTTTATATTGTACTATTTGGTAAAATATGTATTGGGCATTTATCAGTCAAAATATTTGAATTTTACCTTAAACATTAAAAATTAAATCAGTGTATGACGGCTTTAATGTGCACTGAGGGCGCACTAGTGCGTCCAATCAAATTCGCTATAAAATATAATAAGAAAAAAAAAACTGACATGAGTTAAGGGGGGACTCTACTGTAGCCGGACGAAAAATAATGATTTTTTGGGAATTTAAGAAAAAAAAACTATAAGTGATATTGGATTTATTTTCTTTGCAATATAAAGAGGCATTTAAAAAAAAAAAAAAAATTTTTTTTTCAATTTCATTAATTTTTATTGTGTTGACGTACAATTTTGTGGCACAATGTCGGTAGCGCAACGGTTATCTGCGTATATACAATTTAGCAATGAGCTGAGTTATCTGAAAGCAAAAAACAAAAATTTTCTTTAAAGCTTAATCCAATTACGTGGGGATTGAACCTATTTGCAAATAAAAATATGAAAAATTGAAGAAGTTACAGCAATCGTAAGAAAATTTTTTTTTGATCAAAAAATCAATCTTATTGTTGATAAAAATGTTATAAATAAACAATAAAATGTAGCGGTAGGTTCAATCCCTGGAGAAAATTGTAAGGAATCAAATCATGCGTGACAAAAGTTATTTGATTGATTACTTTTTGAGTTATTTTGTACGCAAAGTTGGAAAAAATGGTTTTGAGAAAAACGCGTAAGTTTATTATTTTGTTGCTGTCAGCTAAAAGCACGTAGAAATGCATGAAAATTTCAGTATAAAGGTTTTTGAGGTCGCTGAATCTGAATCTGATATCAGATTTTTAAAAAGATTTATATTATATTTTGACCAAACTGACTTTAATATTGAAGATTCTTACATTAACTCGACGTTTCACAGATTCGACAGATTTTTAAAATTCAAAATGGCGGATTTCATATGGCGGGTCGTAGTTGAATAAAGAAATGAAATTTTTGATGTTTCCACGATATTTACAATTAAATAATGGTCAATCCGCTATTCCGGGCTCATATAAAATTACTTCTTCTTCCTCGAAAAATTCTTATTTACCAGTTTTCATCATCTTCTTGGTTGTTCGAGCTTTTTTGGTGCTTTCCAAGCTCCGCTTGTTTTGCACACACAATACACACATACATATACACACAAAAATATACTTAACACAATCGCAGATTTATACGAAACCTTATTGTTGAGAATCTAAGCAGATAAGTTTAGGTTTACCGCCTAAACTGTGAGGCAGGTACGGATTCTGTATACCGCCTGCTGCGTATCGATTCTCCGCGCGCCTCACTAAAAGGAGCTGTAGTTTCGTCAATTTTACGAATTCGACGATAACGCTTTGGGAATATGTTCTTGAAACCTTATACTATTTATTTATGCAAAAAATCGATTTTTTTGATTTATTACAGTAGAGTCCCCCCTTAAGTCGGTATTAATAGCCGTTTCTTATACATATTTAAGGCCATCTTAAGTACAATCTTAAGATATCATAAACCAATCACAGAGCTGTATTAGCATCTTAATGGGGGAAACCAGTCAGCTTAAAAAAAGACTATTTTTAAAGATTTTTTTGCTGGCAAATAATTTTTTTTTTAAATTACTTTATTAACATCACAAAGTACATAATTTGAACTACTTTTTGTAAAATTTTCGTAAAAAAATATTAATATTTATAGCTACAATAGCCAATAGTGTGAGCCGCCTAGAAAAAATTATGTCAAACGGACACATATATGTAGCGGACCAACGGAAACTGAAACATACGGATTAAAAAAAATAATAATTTGTTACAAAATGACGAACAAAAAAAAGAACGTTCCAAAAATCAGTGAACATTTGATTTGTTTTTTAACGTAAAAAAGTGTGCAAATTAGAAATTTGCACATTGCTTCTTCATCATTACAGATCGCTATCATTGCTCCTATATTATTTCGCTCACAAAGCTCTTCTATGATTATGAGGAAGCTTGTATTTTATTTGATGCATAATTATTAGTATTTATTAGTTTGGCTTCCTCATAGAGGAAGCTTTATGAGCAAAATAAAATAGGAGCAATGGTAGCGATTTGTAATGATGAAGAAGCAAATGTGCAAGTTTCTAATTTTCACACTTTTTTTAATTTTAAATTTAGTTTAGTAACACAAGTGAGGTTTTACAATTGATGCAATGTCAAATCGATGTTGACTTTGGGAGTTCAAGCTACATGGTCCATATATGGACTTCGCATATGGACCTTTAATCGTGTATAAAGCTGGGTCTAATCAATCAAATCCTATAAATAAGTATATATGAAATAAGGGTAGAAAAGACCGAAGAAAATAATAGAATTAGAAATAGCCCGATATCTCCAAATTTGCGGAAGTTATAGCTATCACAGAGATTTCTAAAAAAATAATGGACCTTTGATCGCGTATAAAGCTGGATCTAATAAATCAAATCTTAAAGAATTATATATGAAATAGGGGTGAAAAAGACTGAAGAATATAATAGAATTAAAAGTAGTCCGATATCTCAAAATTTGCGGAAGTTAGAGCAGCCACGGACATTTCTCCAAAAATTCAAAATTTTTTAAAGAAAGAACCCCTTTACCGATCACCACCAAATTTAATACCAACCTTCCTTTAATGATACTTTACATTAAAAAAAAAATTAAGACCGATATCTTAAAATTTGTGGAAGTTATTAGAGCAACCACGGACATCAAATTTGTACACACACGCACACGCACACGCACACGCACACGCACACACACACACACACACACACACACGGACATTTTTTTAAGAGACATTTTAGAACACTCTGAACATATTAGCATCAAAAACTCAAAAAACAATTTTTTCTTTGGTTTTTTCTACCCCTATTTCATATATAATTCTTTTAAATTTGATTGATTAGACCCAACTTTATACGCAATTAAAGGTTCATATACGAAATTTACGAAAACAAAGCTTCCTCTATCAAGAAGCAAAAAACAACAAATCGTTTAATCGAAAATTCAGTACGTGCAACTGAAGATAATCTAATTATAAGCCTTCACAAAAAATTTTGAATGTATTCGTTGAAAATTCATTGAGTTATGAGTGTGCCCAGTTTAAAAAAATCTTGTTTTGAAAAAAATACATTTAAAGTTTTAAGACGACTTATTTATGTTATCTCTCATCTACAGTAGCCATAAAGCCTGAACTACATTTATCGTAAAGTTCGTAAGCGTAGCGTTTTTGACTTACCATAGCGCATCTACTCCAGAACTATAAAATAAGTCTGCAAAATCATGTTCAGCATCCTCCTGTTTATTTAAAGTACGTCTAAGTTGAAGCCTAGCCTCATGCGTCACTGCTTTTGTTTTTCGCTTAGCAGCGAAAGTACGGAACGCGTTCTGCTTATCGTATTCGGCTGTTTGTTGTCCAATTTTTACCTTTAGAACTTCCAATACTTTCAATAATTTAGTGCACCCTTCGTTAAACTGGATTGTAGCTAAATAAAACACCAGTTTAACGATTTTAGCTTTGTCTGAAGTGTTTTTTGGAGCATATTTCCAAATAAGAGCGTTAAAACTCTCGTTATTATTTTGAATGAAACCACTCAAACATCTTTTTAAGTGTTCTTTATCACTCAAATCTGCCATGAACACCAAGAGTTCGCGGCCTCTGGTAGTGATCCCAGACAGCACAAAGATGTCTAAAAAATGACTAAAAGATGACAAATTTTTGGCTTAGATGTCTTTTCGTCTTTAGAGCTTAAAGTTGACTGAAAGATAACTAAAAGATGACTTACGTCCCACTAAATGTTGTCTTATAGCCAAAACTTATAAGATGACTAAAAGACATCCGATATTAGACATCTTTTAGTCGTCTTTTAAAATAATATTGTGGACATGTTTTCGTTCTTTATATTTTATATAAATTTAGTTTATAAATGAAAAGTTTATGTTAATAAAACTTAAAGTTATAATTTCAAAAAATATTTTATTGCAACGAAAAAATTTTATATTTTAATGGGTATTCCACCGAGGGTTAGAATCGAGTCAGAGTCGGGTTAGAGTCAGGTTGGTTTATCTATTTCCACCGGATCAGAGTTACACCAGGGTTGCGGCAAGGTTGAATGTAACCAGCTGTGCATTACAACAGGTAGCCTGATATTAAGATTATGCGACTAAGAACATCATAAATAAAATATCATGGATCTGAGAACAATAATGTTAACTTTACAGTACCAAGTAATATGCAGAAATTAATATGCAGAAATTATTTTTTATTTCAAGATTGGCGACGAAAATCAGCACAAAGGTTGTCCCGTTGGCAACACTACAGTAACTCGACTCTTGTCGTTGCCACTCATTGATATATAAGTATGGACTGCGCTCAGGTATAGAAAAATATGACCAGTGACTCACACCGGTGGAAGAAAAGAGATAGCGACTGGTAGAGGTCAAGCTGTCTCATTTTATCCATTAGTATATAGACAAAAAGGGAACAAGGTAGAGGTCAATTCTACCGGACACTTTTTAAAGGCTTTTATGTAAAGATTGCGTAGTCTATACTATATCTAGTTATACTATAGCTATACTATATGTCGATGTTTCCACCGAACCTCATTTGGACCTTATCTTAAAATTTTGTTGGGTAGGGTTTAAGGCATTGATATCTTTTCCCCTAGGACGGAAACGTGAAAGGTGAAAAGTTTATCTCTTTTTATTCAATACCAATAGAAAGAGATAGTTACATGAAACTTTTCACTTTTCATTTGTCCCAATTTGACTCTGTCTGATCCGACTCTGACCCGATTCTAATCCTTGATGGAAACATACTCAATATAGTCACTTTTATAT